TCCTGCTGAGCCTGCTGGGTTAGGGTCAGGTCATCAGACGTGCATGTTTCCATGCATGTGCCCTGCTCCAGGTGTCAAGAGGCTTCTTGGTCAGGAGGGTGGGGAGATCTCAATCCAGCACGCGTTTCCAGCTCCGTACTTCTTATCTTCGGAGTGTTGCAACCGGCCCAGAGAAAAATAAAATGTGACTACCGTGCAGTTGCATGGATTAAGCTGAGTTTCACAGTTGCACGGTGAGGAGCCGCGTGGCATGTGGCCGAGCACTTTCCCTGCACTCTGTGGCATTCCAGGCCCCGGGCTGTGGGACCGTGGAGAAAAGCAGGCCTGGCTTGAAGCATAGCATCGTGATTTTTGCGCCAGGGTTCAAAATGTGCAGCCAGAGATTCAGAAACCAGAATAGGAGTGGATCCTGAATCTATCAGGAATGGCTTCTGATGGAGAGATGGGCTGGACCGACTGTGTTTTTCCTACATTTAGGTGAAACAGTGTGCATGTATTTTGCTTTTGTGGGCCAGCAGAGTCGCAGTAAAGGTGGTGCTGGGTGCACCCTTTTTGAGCATTCATAGCCAGTTCTTGGGGATACTGCAGAAGCCAAAGGACACATTTGCCCAAAGAAGAGTGCCATTGGGGCCAGCATAGCATGCATACGCATGCATGCATGCACACACACACCCTGACTGGCAATGTTTAAATGCAAAATAAATAAATAAATGCAAAAAATGTGGAGACAGTTGCTGAATAAATTAAGAGCGGTGTGCATAACGTGTGCATTGTGTAGAGTTTAGATTTTCTGGGCGCAGAATGTGATGTGGAGTACTTCAGCACAGAATTTTAATTCTTTCTTGGTGTGAACGTGCATTGCTGCGGTGCATTGCATGCTCCCTTGGTTCTCTGAGGCACCCTTTTGTCTCTGCTCTCTCCCTCAGCCCCCCAGACATTGTGTGTCACTCTTGTGTCAGAAATGGTTTGGTAACTGTTCCTCCCCTGTGCAGCCTTCTGAATTCTTACAGAGTTCCAGACCTTGTAAGATCTGAGAGACGAGTGAGAAGCTACTAGCTGTTCATTTCTTTTGTTGGCGTAAAGTCAGAGGGTAGGATCAGGGTTATTGCTGCTTCTCCGAGTCGTCAGAGCCCAGAACAGACTGCACACCCTTGGCGAGGAGAAGATTCCCGGGGCTTGGCACCAGACAGACCAGCCGTGCCCGTTCATCACGCCTGGTGACTCAGGGGCGGCTCACAGGACCAGTTCAGTCCACGGCAAGGCCACGTCCCTGCTGGCTTCCAGCCACATC